TTTATTTATTTGTGTGTGTGTGTGTGTGTGTGTGTGTGGCCAGCTCAGCCCACCAGGGGGCGGGGCTGACTGGCATGTGGTGCTGGGGGATTGAACCGCTGTCCCTGTGTTTTGCTAAGCTTGTTCTAAGTAGGTGCTTTAGACCACTGAGCCATCTCACCAGCTCCAAAATTGCAGGTTCAGGAAAACTTGCTTTTTTCTTTTTTTTTTTTTGCGGAACCGGGGATTGAACTCAGGTCCTTGAGCTTGCCAGGGAAGCGCTTATTCCACTGAGCCATCTCCCCAGCCCGTGGCACTCCTTTTTGATGATGATGATGATGATTATTATTATTTTCTGTATTTTAGGGAAGGGTCTACAGGGTGTTCAGGGTCTCACTACTAGATTGGACTTCTAGTGATCCGCCTGTTTACAGCCTCCCAAGAGCTGGGATTACAGGCATGTGCCACCACACCCAAACTCAGCAGCTGTCTCAGTGTGCCCCTGGGGCGGGGACGGGGAGGGGGCCGGGTCAGCGGGGGGGGGGGCCCGGGGGGGCGGGGCGGGATCGAATCCCTGGCCCCCTGCGTCTGCTTGCAGGCGCTTTAATCTGCTGAGCTATTTGGTCGGCCCCCTGGCACTCTTTTTTGAACACTACCCTTTGCTTGATGTCTACCATATCACGCTTTTCGTGGATTTGCACATATGTGGCTGAAGGAGCAACCCCATATTTTCTAGAAGGCCTAGAGAACATATACTAGGCTCCCCTTCTCTTTCCCTTCCTGTATCAGTCATTTTAGCAGATTACTGGAAGATGTTGATTCAGGCCTAAAATAATATAATATTATTATTTATTATTATTGAGTGCTGAAGATTGAACCCAGGTGAGTGACACCTGCAGTTCTCGGTTAACACTCGGTTTTTAAACGCCAAATTGAAAACACGCCAGTGATTGTGCTAAGGCTGTCCTCAAACTCACCAAAACCTCAACACCGCTTAGATTTGAAGAGAGAGTGAAGAGAGCTGTAGCAAGCAGTCTCCTATGAAGCCTCTATACACAGGCACTGCACTTGCTGGTTGCTTTAGAACGAGACTCAGGCGGAGAGCAATGACAAGGGAAGGACTGGCGAGGGATCCAAGCTGCATCAGGCGTGGTCTGATCTGTTCGAGAGACTGGAGCTCTGGCCCCCCTGTGTGGGCAGCCTTAGAATTGCAAGGCCAATCGGAGGGGGGCAGGAGGGTGCACGGCTCCCGGGAGGGGCCGGAGGCGGGATGAGGGGGCGGAGCCAGGACTGGGGCGGAGCCAGGACTGGGGCGGAGCCAGGACTGGGGCGGAGCCAGGACTGGGGCGGAGCCAGGACTGGGGCGGAGCCAGGACTGGGGCGGAGCCAGGACCGGGGCGGAGCCAGGACCGGGGCGGGGCCAGGGCCGGGGCGGGGCCAGGGCCGGGGCGGGGCCAGGGCCGGGGCGGGGCCGGGCTGGTTCTGACTCCTCTGCAGAGGGCGCGGGCGGGACAAAGTTGGGGCGCGCGCGCGCGCGGATCCTAGCTCCTTTCCTTACCAGACTGCCATGGAGAAGCTGACGCTTCCTCCCCGCGGCGCGGCAGCGGTGGACGAGTACCTGGAGTATCGGAGGTGAGGCAGCGGCGGCTCCAAGCCTGCTTTTCCAGGCTCTCTCCCCACCCGGCGGGGGGCCGCGGCCCGGGACCTGGCTGAGCAGAGAGCGCTGGGGCTCTGGAAATCCGTTCTCAGGGTGTTGAGAGGCCTAGATTAAGGTCAAGTTTCATCTTTCATAGTTAATTACGCAGTTTCAGTAAGTAGCGAGCCTGTTTGAGGCTCCTTGAGAGGTGCCTCCCTCCAGAAGGGACTATTATCCAGACTGAAGGCAGGGTCCAAGCCCCGCTGCCCCCGAAGAGCCATTGCAGAACCACACGGGGAGACTCCGGGCCTGGGAAAGCGAGTAGACACCGAGTTGCAGGTTAATCGCGGTAAGGTTAGTGGTGACCTGCGGAACGTGCTCCCAGGGCCCAGCCAGGCCGGTGCTTTGGGGTGGGGTGGAGAAGGATGGAGAGTAGGGGAGAGGAGTCCCGAGCCTGGCGACGCGGCTTGCCTTTTCGGTTGAGGACTTGGTTTCTCATGCCGGGCTTGACGAAGACCCTGCCCATGTCAGGAAGTTTTGTTTTGTTTTTTCCCTGTCTGGCCGTCTCCAAAGAAAGAATTTTGGCAGTTGGTGAATGGCACATGGGGCCTACAGGAGAGGGTTGGCGGAGGATGTATGTGTGTTCAGGTAGATGAGTGGATCCTGGCTCACCTGGGACACTTGAGCAGGGGGACTACTCTACTCAATCGTGGTCGCTGCAGATTCTCAGCTCACTGCCCTGCTAATGTAGTTTTGGGTAATATTTAGAACTGCCTGGAAACGAGTGGGAAAAGTGAAGTCTAGGACCTTGATGAGAACCAGTCACAGGCTCTGTTCAGGGGAATGTTAGGCGAGCCCGGCCTTCTGGGCAGGAACTATTACCACCTGCCCAGGGCTTCCCCAGGGCAGAGCTGGCTCTAGCCTTTGGTTCTCTTCTCCCTGGGGGCAAGTCCCTGGGCAATAGACTGAGAAATTAGATATTGATATGTGAGTTGTGGGATTCAGAGCCATTTAGATAAGTAGATTGGGGGACTCCAGTTGTTTCTTGCCCAGAAAAATGCCAGGGGCAGGCCTGGTGGGAATTATTTTTGCAAGGATAAATACATAGAACACTCCTTATGGAGGGGATTATTAAGTCCTTTACTTACCTGCGAAATTTGCCAGCGGTGGGGCAAACCAGATTTGGGTGCCTAGATATAGAACGAGATGAATGAGGAAGGTAAAAAAAGATGAATTTCCACTGAAAATGAACTTTCTTTTCCCAGTGTTTTCCTTGATTTGGAGCTTTGGTGGGAGGTGGCTAGGAGAGAAAGTGTAGTCTTGGCATAAATTGGTTTAGGACTAAATGCCAGTGATTTCTTACTTAAAAGACCTGCAATTATTTAAGTATCTTTCTACCTGTTAGTACTTCTTTGGATAGTTACAATAATATGGCTTAAAACGTATTCCCAAATAAAATGCCAGTTGGTTTTACTATTTTGTGTCTAGGTTGTTTAAATAAAGAAACACGTTGATTTCACTGCACATTAGTTTTTATTTTCTGCCTCAACTAAGGGCTTCAAAATATAGAAAAATCTACATTGCACAAAAATATGCAGCATTTTACAAACAATACCTTTCATGACATTAAGAGGCGAAGAGTATCTTTTTTTTTTTTTTTTTTCTTTTTTTTTGGCAGAACTGGGGATTGAATTCAGGCCCTTGAGCTTGCCAGGCAAGCGCTTATTGTACAGAGCCATCACCCCAGCCCGGAAAGAGTATTTTATTTTATTTTTTTTGTGGAACTGGGGATTGAACTCAGGCCCTTGAGCTTGCCTGGCAAGCACTTATTCCACTGAGCCATCTCCCTGGCCCCAGGAAAGAGTATTTTTAAGGAGAAATTTCCTTCATTTTTTTCAACTTCTTTTAATTATACCTTGTTTTCCTGTAGGAAGACAAACAAAATTTTTTCCTCATAAAAATAATGAGACATTGGGGCCAGGGAGATGGCTCCATAGAATAAGCGCTTGTGTGGCAAGTACAAGGGCCTGAGTTCAATCCCGGTTCTGCAAAAAAAAAAAAAAAAAAAAAAAAAAAAAGAGGCCTTGATTTTTCCCATGGAATATATGGACCTTAAACAATGAAGCACTTGATTACACAATATATAGGTGTGAGTTTGAGCTTGTGCACATCCAAGTGTTTTTTTTTTTTTTTTAAAGCCTGCATAAGTTTAAAACTACTGGCCAAGTTTGGGGTCAGGTATGGATTTAGTCATGTCATCTCTATTTTTTTTGCGTGTGTGATGTGTATGTGTGTGTGCTTTTGGGAGGTATTATTTTTAAGAGTCTCATGCTCTACTGACTGAGCTAGTCGGGCACCTGGGATATTATTTTTAATGGAAGAAACACTAGAATTGTTTAACAGTTTAGGCTCTAGCTTTTAGTGAGAAGATGAATGTTTACTTCAAATTGGAGGAAAACTTGAGATGAATAGTTGGCGATCCTCCATTGATAAACTCTGATTAAGTAGAGTTAGATGTTATGACATCGCTGACTTAGCCTTTAAAGGTAAGAGTAGGACAGAAAAAATTGTTTTGCTTTAGTTATCGCTAGGTTCATGGTTGAAGCACTCATAAGGAAAAACAGATTAACAAGAGAAAAGCTTACAGATTTATTCAGTATTATATGACATGAGAGCCTTTCAGAAAGAAAACACACAGAAACTGGAGATCCTGTGCACTTTTATGCTTTGTGTGATGAACAATAGACAATCATGAAAAAATAAATGGAATCGCAGGGGGCTGCTTAGATTCTTGGGGTTGCTGTGTTGAGAGAAAGAGGCTCCTTGCCTGCTAATGCAGGGAGGGTACCTCTGGGATGGAGGTTGTATACTGTGTCAGGGAAGAAGAACTCACTCAGGGGAGGTGAGAGTAGCCTTCCTGCTTCTGTTGTTTTCTCAAATGCTAAGTTGCCATAGTGTTAGGATATACGTCCAAAACTTTCAGAAGCAAAACTTTATTTTCATTGTGTATCATTTGGCTATTAACATATGTCCACAGTAAAAATTCAAAGCAGACTTCCCTTTGAATATATAAGTATAGTTTAATTTTAGAGCTCAGTTTTTTAATCTGGAAAATATTCAAGGCGGAGACATATTTTTGTTGTTGTAGAATTGTTGGAGAAGATGATGGAGGAAAGCTTTTTACACCTGAAGAATATGAGGAATACAAAAGAAAAATTTTACCTATCCGCTTACAGAACAGGTTATTTGTGAGCTGGCGGTCTCCAACAGGAATTGATTGCAAGCTTGTTGGCCCAGAGACACTGTGTTTTTGTACACATAGGTAAGATATTTAATTAATTGCTATTTCTTCCCTCCTTCCCTCTCTCTCCCCATCTTTCCTTTCTTCCATCCCCCTTTTTCTTCTTCCTTTTGGGGATTGAATACAGGGCCTTTATACTAGGAACATCCACAGACTTTTTTTGGTGCATGACCATTTTACTAAGTAATTTAGTTGCCTACACTGGTCTCAAACTTGTAAGCCTCCAGCTTTAGCCTCCGAGAATCCTGGGATTATATGCATGTACCACCATGCACAGCTCTTATTGCTATTTTTCAGATGACTAGAAAATAAAAGTTGGGGGCTGGGGAGATGGCTCAGTAGAATAAATGCTTGCCTGGCAAGCACAAGGCCCTGAGTTCAATCCCCAGTTCTGGAAAAAAAAAAAAAAAGTGCCTGCTTAAAAAAAAAAAAACCAAAAAAAAAAAAACCTTAAAAAAAAAGAAAAAAAAAAGTTGTAGTGAAACATATCTTCTTTAAACATTTAAAAGCAATCATTTATATAATATAATAAAAATATTTGAAGTTTTTAAAGAGTTACAATTAAAAATTTTTGCCAGGCATGATGGTACATGCCTATAATCTCAACTCTTAAGAAGTCAAGATAGGAGCTTTAGGAATTTGAGGCCCACCTGAGCCACATAATAAGTCACTGTCTCAAAAATATCAGAAGAAGAAAAAAAATTGCTTTTCCTCTGTCATATTATAGTAGGACCCCCCTCCCATCTATTGTCTCAAGCAGTTTGTCTCTTGGAATTGGTTAAAAAATAATTATATATGGCTTTGCTGGAGGATCTTCTGGGTTGCAGAATCTGTCTACCATTGACTGAGCTAAAGGATGGATGGTCGGGCTGCAGAGAACTACTTCAATAGTTGCTTGAGTTGATCCACTAGGGTCATTGTTATGGTTTGTGTATAGTTGTCCCCCCAAAGCCTCATGCAATCTTGGGGCGGCTTTTGGAGATTGTGATTGATTGCTTTGGGTATGGATGCAGCACCTGCCCTGGGGCAGGTAATTTGCATTACAATGTAAAGTGGGAAGAGAAGCCAGCTGCTTGAGCTGCTGCTCCTCCTCCCTTGTGCTCTTGCTGTTTGCCTCCACCATGAAAGATTGCTCTCTGCCTTGCCCCACTCTGCCTTGGAGCCAGCTGAGTATGGACTGAAACCTCCAGTAACTGTGAGCTAAATAAACCTTTCCTTCCTTTATTTTGAGTGTCGGGTATTTGTTCTAGCAACGAGAGAAGAGTAACTAAGATAGTCATGTTAACCATCTACTAATAGATGCATTTCTCCTCAAATTCATTAAGTCATCCTTCTCATTTTAAGGAACTGCTATGTCAATACACTTCCTTAAACAAACAAAAGCTCAAACATATGACTTAATGACAAATGGTGATGACCAAGAAAATCCCTTGGGAAAAGTTACTTGAGGCTTTAGTCATTGACATATGTTGCCTGTATCTGAGATTTGCATTTTGCTATGTGCATGCCCCGCTTCTAATTTCACTACTGTAAAGAACAAATGACCAAACTGCTTCACAAAAAAATCACTGAGCTTATTACATGTTTTTAGGCAACAACTATTAACTATTTGTTCTAAGGAAACTATTGAAGGGTAGACTCATGAGAGACTCTTAGAATAGTTGCTATTTACAGAGTTGCAGTTTGCCAGGTGTTGTTAGGCAGTTGTTAGGATGAGTAATGTTGTATATAAACTGACTTTAAACAATCTGATGACCTCAACTGATAACACTGGAGGAACAGAGAATGAGGGATGTGTTGCTATCTCAGAATTAAAGAAATGTTCGGAAAATATGTACTATCTTTATAATTTTTATAAGAATTTAATGCCAGTTTCTTATCTGTGTTCAATTTTTATAGCATGGAATTGTCTGTTAAAAAACCCAACTCACCTTATTTATTTATTTATTTATTTATTTGTGTGTGTGTGTGTGTGTGTGTGTGTGGCCAGCTCAGCCCACCAGGGGGCGGGGCTGGCTGGCCTGTGGTGCTGGGGGATTGAACCGCAGACCCGGTGCTTTACTAAGCTTGTTCTAAGTAGGTGCCTTAGACCACTGAGTCATCTCACCAGCCCCAACCCAACTCACCTTTGATAGAGACATTTTTCTGTAATACTTGTCCCTCATAAGATCTCTATCCAGACCTTTTTTTCCCCCCACTGTTATAAACGTGATAGGTGGGAGGCAGGAGGATTGCAAGTTCAAACTTATGCTGGACAATTTAGCAATTTAGTGAAATCCTGTCTCAAAATTAAAAAAAATAATAAATAAAGGGCTGAGGAGGTAGTTCAGTGCATAGGCCTTGGGTTCAAATCTTAGTACAGAAAAAAAAATGACATCTGATTATTAAGGAAAGCGGAATAATAAATAGAAAAGTAGAACCATCTACTAATAGATGCATTTAACCTTGAGCAGCAGCTCAAGCAGCTGGCTTCTCACTGATTTCCCAAAGCCAGCTGCTGTTAATACTTTTTACTTGATTTTTTTTTTTTTTTTTGTATAGTTCATGTAATTGTTAGTTTTGTGTTTGTATAAAATCTTGAACTAGTTTTTCATGGCAGTCACAGAAATATGTTTCCACATTGTTATTTGGTAATCTTAACATTTTCAATACCTGTTTGATAAGCTAGTAGTATTCATCTTGTGTGTCCTAGATCTGTGAGCAGAGACATGGGTGCACTAGGTGGAAGGGCAGAGAAAGGAAGGCCAAACCCTAGTTCTGCTTTTATCTGTTTTATATGCAGTATTATGGTTCTGGGAAGTTTTTATTTGAAAAAAGGGTTTTATTACTAATAAGCTTGTAAACTATCCTGTAATACTTTATCTATCCCTGTGTGTGTGTGTGTGTGTGTGTGTGTGTGTGTGTGTATGTAAATAGAATTATTTTCTTAGGCTATATATTCCAGGATAAACTTTCTGGGTTAAAGAATGGACCATTTAAAGTTTCCTGAAGCATTATTAAGTGGAAATTGTTCTTTTATAAGACTTGAAAGCTACTATATATAATTGTAAATTATATAATTATAAATTACATATAGTTTAAGAAAACTTTTGTAAATTACATAATTATTATTATTATTATTTTTTTTGTGGAACCGGGGATTGAACCCAGACCCTTGCACTTGCTAGGGAAGTGCTTATTCCACTGAGCCATCTGCCCGGCCCCTGTAAATTACATAATTATGATTAAATAGTTAAAAAAAAATTTTACTAGGCAAAATATGGAATGTCATTGTTTGATATAGATCAGTGCTAAGATAAAAATATAGTATTTTACTGAGCAGCACCTATGAGAAAGAAACAATCTGTTTATTATTTATAGTGCTTTCATAAAACTTGAACTTTAAATATATTCATAGTTTATTTTATAATCAAAAGTTAAAAATTAAAGTCAGACACAGTGGTGTCTACCTGTCATGCCAGCTACTCAAGAGAAATTGAAAGTTCCGGGCATGGGCCAGGGAGATAGTTAGGCAGTCTAAGTGCCTGTCTGGCAAGCCAAAGGACCTGTTTTTTTGTTTTTTGTTTTTTTTTGACAGGTCCAGGGATTGAACTCAGGACCCTGCGCTTGCCAGACAAGCGCTTATTCTACTGAGCTATCTCCCCAGCCCCTGACCTGGGTTTATAGGCAGGTATAAAATCCCTGGTACCATATACCACGCTGGACCTGAGTGCTGTACTGGCCACTGAAACCAGGCATGGTGGTACATGCCTATACCCAGTGCTGGGGAGGCTGAGATAGGAAGATCACTATGATTCTGAGCTGCATAGCACAACCCTGTACCAAATAAATAGATATTCCAGGCCAACCTGGGCAACTTATCAAGACTCTGATCCCGAAATAATATAAAAAGGGCTGAGAATATACCTTAGTGGCAGAATACCTCCGTGTTTAATCCTGCCTACCTAAAAAAAGATGAAAATTACATTACATTACAATGAATTATATTAACACATGTTTATTGAGCTCTTTTAAAATAGCAAATATGAAAATAAATGTAAGTAATACATTTTGATTAAAAACTATTTTTATTCAGATTTTTTTCATATTTAAGATATATATCCCTATTAGTCTTCGATGAGAAGTATTTAAAGGAAATTATTTTTCTCTGTATTATTGTGAAACTTCTTAAATCAGTAAAAATTTTTAAAAAGAGTAATGATTCCCTCTAAACAAAGTTGACAGAAGTGCTGCACTGGGGGAGTTTATTTTCACCTTCTTAATAAATTGTATTTATATTTAATGGAATAGAAATTGTGATTTTTTTGGTAATACCCACCATTGTGTAACATTTCTTATTCTTCTTATTTATTTAGATATAAACAACATAAAACTGACTTTGAAACGATTCCACAGCAGCGCCCCATTGCCCTGCCATGCCGAGTGAGTGGCTGCCCATGCAGGGCTTACCATTACGTCCCTCTGAATGGTACCCAACCGATTCGCTGCAGGTGCAAACACTTTGCAGACCAGCATAGTGCTGCACCTGGTTTTGCATGTAACACATGTAAGTCATGTTATTATATATGTGCAGAATGTTTTATTTTTTGAATGTTTAATGTGTGTTTGAATCAGTTTATTCAGCTTCATATTCAGGTATTAAGCAACTGAGCAAAATTTATTGGGTACTTAGAGTTATATGCTTGATGATCATAAACGCCAGTGTCAAATAATTCAAATAATTTAAGTAATAGATTTTTAAAACTTAACCTACTCTTTTTTTTTTTTTTTTTGGTGGAACCAGGGATTGAACTCAGGCCCTTGCACTTGCCAGGGAAGAGCTTATTCCACTGAGCCATCTCCCCAGCCCATTAACCTACTCTTTATTGAGGTATAATTCACATACCATACTATTCATAAAAGTATTCAAATTCAATACTTAAATTGTTTCCTGAGAAGTGAAACCAAGAATTACATCACAATGAATAATAAATTTCATTTAATATGATTGTATTGGTAACAACATAAGCACTATAGCTTATGTATGAACTTAGACTATCATTTCATCCAGTACCTACTAGGATGTCAATGGTACAGTAGTTACCAAAATGGCATACAAAGTGGGCAAAGGAATTTAACCATTTTTTGGTGAGGATGTTGTCTAGACCTAACCTAACCTAGATTAAGTAACTGACATGAACTATCATAGTTAAAAGCTGCAAGTTTATTTTGAAAGCACTAAGACTTTTAAATACCCTCATAGTATTTGGCAACATCTAGAAACATTTTTCATTGTTAAAACTAGGGTTGGGGGTGCAAATGATGTGGCAGGCAGGAGGCAGAAATGCTATAAAACATCCTATGAAAGGCAGAGGAAGGTTCTCCCCACAGCAAAGAATTACTTGGCTCCAAATGGCAAGAGTGCCAATGTTGAGAAAGCCTGTTTTAAACTGTCTAAAATATGATCCAATATAAAATGCTCCCAGCATAGGAACTTGTTGATAAGTCACACATCTATCACACATTGTCACAGTATTTAATAACAAGTTCACAAGGAGGCAGCATTGGTGTAGCATTATGTGGAAATTACAAAAACTGGCTTTGGTGCAAAAAAGACCAAAAATAGTTTCAACCAATTTTAGCAAATCCCAGCCTAAGTTGTAATTCCAGCAATAGCCTCTCTGTTAGAATTGTGAAGAATATTAAATTAGAAAGATTTTCTAAAAGGCTTGGCACTGGGACTGGGACTTAGTAAAATCACAATCGATTTCAAATAAATAAAAGGTACATAGGTTTTGGCAGATGTGGTGGCACACACCTGTGATCCTAGCACTTGGGATGCTGAGGCAGGATAACCACAGAGAGTTCAAGGCCAACCTGGATTTCATAGAGAGTTCAAGTCCAGACTGAATTACAGAGCAAGACCCTGTCTCAAAAATCAAAGCAAAACAACAGAAAAAGAATGCAGGTTTCTTCTACTACTGAATCCAATATTTCACCAAAACTAGATTTCTTCTTTTTTTTTTTTTAATTTTATTTGTGTGTGTGTGTGTGTGTGTGTGTGTGTGTGTGTGTGTGGCCAGCTCA